TGATACCACCTTCGATTTTTGGCGACTGCAGTTTCCCGTGAAGGTTTGCTTCGCTATGTCCATCAACAAGTCTCAAGGTCACACCTTCAAGGTGGCTGGACTTCCCCTTGAAGAATCGGGCTCTTCCCACGGCCAACTCTACGTTGTCATATCTCGAATTAGTTCAAAACGGAATTTATACGTCTGGGCACCTAACGAGATTTCGAAGAATGTTGTTTACCACGAAGCGTTGGTCTGGCGGTTATATATTTTACTTCCTTGCGGTTCCTATGAATACCCCACTTATGACCGTCCCACCTGTAATTCTTTAGTCATTCGAAATTCGGCTCTTTTTTGTACTTCCCTTGCCATTTTACCCTACCTTCGTCTTTCCAATTATTACTTTTACGTGTGTCCTCCTTACTGTTCCCTTTGACATCTACCGCGTTTTCCTTCAATGGTTATGTACGTCACTCTCTCCGTTGCCCCAATTACAGTTCTCCGTCTTTCCATACTGTTCTTCATTACTGTTTACTTATCCCTCTTACGTATTAATTGTTTCAAAAGGTTTTACTGCAGAGGACAGTTGCCTTTTTCCTTCATAAAAGGACAACAACGGTAAGGAAGCCAAGGCGAAGCCAGGCTTCCGCGCTAGTTAACGTTAATTGCCTTCTTGCGCGTGGATAGTTTGTTGGACGGCACGCGTGCTCTGACCTGTTGAACTTTCATCACGGGCGGTGGGCTCGGGCGTGATGATTGCTCGGTCACCTGGCCCTTCAGTGTTGGCGTAAGATGAGGCGGTGGCCTGGCTGTTCCTCAAGTGGCAACTTGTCTTGGCCATATTGGGCCTCAGCACCAAATATGGATTGGGGAAGTCGTTACACTTGTTTATGAATCGGGGGCTCGTGAACCATGACTCAAGTAGTTCTCGGCTCACCCGATTGTCCCCTTTTGCGAAAATTTCGGCCTCATCAAATTTGAACGTGTTGCCGGGTCTCGTCAAATGAGCCGCAACTTGAGAATTGGCATCATTTCGCCGCACTGCTGCCGCGTGTTCGGCAATTCGCGTCTTGAGAAGTCTGCCAGTTTCTCCGACATAGTTGCTTTTGCCGCAACTGCACCAGATCCTGTAGACGTCTACAGAAGTTTCTTGCCGTGAACTTGCTTCAAAATCATGTAAACTCAGCTAAAACCTCTCTCTGTCTCTCACACAGTCTTACACTCCTTCAGGCATGTCAGCTAAAAAAAAACATACGAAACACCGCAGCTGGAGGGAGCATTTGGAGGACACGTTTAAAAATGACCTGGTCTTTTTAAGTAAAGCTGAAAAAAATAACTGGAAAGCAGTAAAATGCAGGCATCTATAAATCGGAGTTCTGTGCACAATAAATCTCCCCTCCCACACTTGCCTTCAACCGTTCACATGCAGTTTGGGATTTGACCCGATGATTGGGTAGTGCAATAAGCGCACACCCACTAACTAGCCACTACAATTCCACGTTGTGTTTGTGTGTGCGTTTGCTTTCTTGTTCAAGGAATGCGCTAATTTGTCGCTTTCTGTCTATGTGCAGTTCAACGGTCCCAGTTCGAATGCGGGCACGACAGGCGGTTGTAACAACATGGGCCAGAAAATGGAGGAGGCCACCGATCGTGTGGGCCATGAGGAGTCATCCAACGATGCCACCACTCTCGAAGAGACTGAGCGCAACTCCCGAGACGGCGAACCCTCTGTGCCGGGCAGCAACCCTCGCTCCGCCGCCACCAACCATAACGCATCGGCGTAAGTTGTTTTTACTTGTCTATGTTTTGGCACTCGGGTAATTTCCAACGAAAGGAATACGGTAAACTCACGGGACGAGGGACCAGGACGAGTCGAAGAAATATTATTTGGGTAAAAGTTTAGTTAGATACCCCTAGACCCAGAATTCTGTTTTACGGATCGGCAGTATTTGTTTAGTTTAGTTTGTTATTTAGTTCATTAGTTTAATTATAGTTCAATTTTAGACTTTAGCTCATTTTGTTTAGTTTATCTTATTTTACCTGACTTACTTTAGTACATAGTAGTTGTTTAAGTATATCTATCTAACGTTGGTGGTAAAATTTAACTAATTTAACCAATAATTTAATAGCTAATTAATAACTTATAACTAACTAATAATCAATAATAACTAATAAATTTAACTAATAAACTAAAAGCTAAACTAAAACGAATAAAGCCGAAAGTAACTACAGGACTAGGGGTTAGGGGTATGTAAGATGGGTGACCAGCATAACTTTTACCAACGTGTGTATGCGCTTTTTCTGGAAAATATATTTGAGTTTGTAGGGACAGTGAAAGTCAAAGAAAAACGGACATATTATTTAAGAAGAAATGTTTTAGGGAATGAATTTATTGCAGGCGGCTAGAAGGAACTTCCTTCAAAAGCGGGTATCCTGACGTGACTGAAATGTATTAAGATTGGGCTGTACAATCATCATTAATGCTACAATCATACCCACTATGTTGGAATTTGAAAATAAATTTCAGAATTTCTCGGTTGATATTTGGATAGGTAATTTACTGTAGGTCACCCCTGTATTATCAGGGGAAGGGGGGGGGGTTGGTGGAGGTGAAATAGGAGCCCCCACCTCTAATTTACCGCAAAGTCACCTATGCTACCTGGTTGGGTATCTATTTTTGCGCTGAACCGATGTCTTTGTCGGTCTCTTAGTGCTTTACGTTCCTGCTACGCATGAACTATGGGGAGGGGGGGACAATCGGTGCCAGGTAAGATTCTTCGTTTACCAATAGAGGAGAATATACGAGTTCCAGGCAGCAGTTCAGAAGAAGAAGATGCGATCACTGGAACAAGGACTTTAGTTTCCTGACATTTACCCCTCGGGAATCCTTAATCATAGGTAATCGAAGAACAGTCTGAAACATGCGCTGATACATGCACAGATAACACAGTATTTATAGTTCGTGGCGGTCAACCACATGCGTAGCGGTCAACCGCATGCGTACTATAATTGTCAATTATAGTTATGAGGTGTCCTTTTCTGTCTCCCAATCAGAATTTTTATTTTGCCTCCAGTTGGTTGGTGTCATTAGGTAAAATTCGATATATCGGAGTTCGAGCACGTGGATCCTGACGACCTCCAACTGATTTATTTCGAGCTTATGTCCTATAAACCCAATGATACAGCTGCTACTGCTTCTGGTACTACTACTACTACTACTACTACTACTACTACTACTACTACTACTAC